CACACACACACACACACACACACACTCAAATGTACATGCCTACACCCCTCATGCACACACCATACACATATACAGTACAACACAAACATGGGAGTGTGCATATACACCACACACACACACACACACACACACACACACACACACACACAAGGAAATGAAAGTAGTTTGTAAATTTATAAATTAGACTACTCATTCCTAAATAATCAATGTATCAAGTAATTTTTTTAAAAGGGAAAAATCAGAAAATACCTTGCAATGAACAACAACATAATAAACCAGGTTATGTTGACACGTGCCTGTGATCCCAGCACTTGGGAGGTAGAGTTAGGAAGATCCTGGTTCACGAACATCCTCAGCTATAAATAAAGTTCAGACTCCGTAATGCCCTGTGTCAAAACCAAAGAAAATACAATGAATGAAAATGACAAAAAAAAAAAAAACTACACCATTATAATTGAAGCAGTACTTAATGAGAAATACACAGTTTCAATTGTCTTCATTAGAAAGATATCAAATCAATAACCTAACAACTTTTATCTTAAAAGAGAGAGAGAGAGAGAGAAGAAGAAGAAGAGCTGGGTGTGGTGGTTCAGGCCTTTGATTCCAGCACAGAGGAAGCAGAAATAGGCAGATCTCTGTGTGTTCAAGGCCAGCCTTGAATTACCAGGCAAAATTCCAGGCCAGGCAGAATTACTCTGTCCAAAAAAAAGAAAAAGAAACAAACAACAACAACAACCTCCAAGCAACCAGAAGGAGCTTGTCAAAACCTACAACAAAAATAAGCAAGTCAGATGAGAGAGAAGCCATGAAACCAGAAGATAAACTGTTAGCTATATTGCCAAAAAGAGAGAATTCAAACCATTAAATTATCACTGAAAGGGGAGACATCACTACCAAACTAACAGAAGTAAAAAGGACTTTAAGGAATAACATGAGCAATTACATGGCCATAAATGAGATATTCTAAGTGGAACAAATTCTTATAAATACAATTTTAACACATTTACACAATGGAGATGTATTTATCTGCCTGGCCTTAGACATGTGTTTCCAGAGAGTAAGAGAAGAAGTTAGCTGTGTTCTCAATACTGACTGATGACAGAGGACGAAGGGCCTCTGTCTTCCATGTGACTCCTCGATGACTTCCCTTGTTAAACATGGTGGTCTAAGTCAAGCAGCATGGGCTTCCTCACTGTCCCCCCTCCACCTCCCTTCCAGCTGCTGTGGAGGCTCACAGCTCGCTTGCTCTGCTGTTTTACTCTCAAATCATGACATTGTCCTTGGGCTTCAAACAATGATTTTTAAAAATTCATTAAGTTCAATCAAGAACTTTGCCTTTTCCTCTAAACAGCCACCAGACAGTGGCTCACTGCATGAGAATAAGCAAATGGATGTGTTCCTTGTTTCCAGGTCAGCCATGCGGTTCACAGACTTGAGGAAAAGGAAGTTTCCCACATGGTGAGCGTTGCACAAGGCCTCGCTAAGACAACCTATAATCACTAAATGACCTAGAGTGGTGAGCTGAGGAACTTAACAGATTATGGCCCCTCTTTATGAGCTTCTAGCAACCATTTACAAATCTGCACCTTTATGAGTTATGTAGGAATTTACATAACACGTACATTAGGTACATGTTTCACAAGGATAAGACAGTCTTTACATCAGCATTTCATTAAATGCCCAACCTCATCATTTGACAAAATATTTGTGGAGCCACTTTGGGCCATTTGTTAGAGAGTCCTATTTTCACAAGTAGAAGATATTGGACAAATAAAAATCTTAGAGGCTAAGATGATTGACACTTGGGTCTTCAGCACATGTCAGAACAGGTCTTTTAAGATCTTGCTTGTGCAGGACATCAAGGTATAGCTGGAGTCTAACAACAAATAATATGCTCTTATTATGCACAGCCACATACCTGGTCCGGCACTGTTCAATAATCCAGTGTGGCTGCTGAGTACTTGAAGTGAAACAAATCCTAACAGAGATGCGCTGTGTGTATAAAACACATTTTAATTCTAAAGCATTTGCAAAAAAGTAGTTGTAATGATCTCAAAAGTTTTATATTGCTTACATGTTGGTTTATTTGGGGTATGTTAGGCTGAATAAAATGCATTGATAAAACAAATTTCATCTATTTCTTTTTGTGTTTTCATGTGGCTACTAAAAACTTAAGTTACACACGTGGCTATGTTGTCGTTTTGGATACTAATGATGTGGTCTTATCACAGACAGATTGGCAATGCCAAGGAACGGCACAGCAGCCAACATCACAGATGGGCGGGGCCAAAGGGGTTCAGAATGAAATCAGGGTTCACCACAATTTCTTTTTTTTTCTTCCTTTCCTTCTTCTTTTGAGATAGGTTCTCACTCTATCACTAGGTAGCCTTAAACCCTCCGTATATAGACCAACTTGGCCTTGAATTCAGATTCTCCTGCCTCTTCCTCCTGTGTGCTACGATTAAAAGCATGCACCACCACATCCAGCTCTCCATCATTTCTTGACACAGACAGTGTTCATAAAACTGAAGAGTTGGTTAGCAGGTTAAAAAAAATAGGTTACTATGAAAATAGTTGCACAGGCTTGTATCTACCTAATTATAGTTTGATTCAGTCCCTCAAAAAGATGTTTGATAATGTCCCAGTTTACAGCCTCATGACCAACATTACCAAATTACCCCTTTCTGTGATTTAGTGCCACATTTATGAGCTCTTTTATTAGTATTTATTTTAAACAGAGATGGGAACATTGAAGGGCCTGTACTTACCTTGCTCTACATTAAAGTGTAGTCCATGGGGACCCACTGTGGACCGGGATTCCAGACTTGAAATGAGTCTTCACAATTCTCAGAAGCCAACCTAGATTTTCTGGTTTGTGTATAACCCAGTGGAAGGTCACCATTCTCTTCTAACACCCCCACAAAAGTCAGGTGCTCAGAGCCTTTGACCAGTTCACTGTGACAGCCTAGGAAGACAGGATCTTTGTACTCCCAGATGTCCTTTGCTCTCTATTCCTCCCCTAATACACGTTTACACAGCCTGAACACAGCCAAAGAGATTTTTAGTGCTACCAATCCAGATTTAATTAGGTTTGTTTATATTCTATTAGCAAAAATATTAAAAAAAAAAAACTCCTACAAGTGCATTAGGTATCCAAAATAGAAAAACAAACATTGTGTGTCTAAAATGAAACTAAGCTCAGAGACATTTTATTCAGAGTAGGACCAACATCATAAACAATGATTATTAACAATTATGTGATATGCATTTGAAGTCTTTTTTTTTAATGGATGTGTGAAGGTGATGATTGTGTTTTTCTGTTGCAGTAAGTATTCATTTATCACTGTTTCTTAGGACATACAAATCTAAAAGCCATCCCTCCCCCAGCCATTATGAAAGACTCCTGCCCAGGAAAATGGATTCATTTATGATCACCTTTTCCTTGCTCAAAAAACAAAAAACAAAAACAAAAACAAAAAACCTAAACAATTTCTAATAAATATAAAGTCTACATATTAATGTGATCAGGGGCATTTTATTAGTAGGACCCAATTTTGTAATCCCAAACTGTTAATATTAACTTTGAAACCCAAATGTCTTCATCCTGAGCCCACATCATACCACATTCAGTCCAACCAGGGCTGGGGTGAACCATCAGTTTGCCAGAGGGACTTTTGTAGAGTGGACAGCACAGAGAGTTTAAGATTATTCCACCCTTGGAAAGGGCAGGGGCAAGGTTCCAGAAGGCTGGTCCTCCCTGGAACCTGGAGCTCTTTAGAAGTGTGAGTTAATGAGCCCTGCCCCACTTCCCCAAGAGGCGCTCCCAGAGCCTTCCAACAAGTTCTTCTGGTAATGAGTGTGCACATCAAGGTGTGAGAGTCATGTGACTAGAAGAAAGTGTTCAGAAGAGCTGAGTGTTACATCTTGAAGAACGGGAAGAAAAGAAATCCGCCCAAGGGACTTGCAAAGCTCAGCGTTACTTTGTGAAGAGATGTCAGGCCTTGTGAGATGCTAGCCAGGTGATCTACCACCGAACTACATCCCCAAGCAGAGACATACTCAAATGAATGTGTGATGCAGTGGATCAGAGGCACTGGGTGGAACTCATGACCCATCAAAATCATCTCCCGCCCCTATCCCCAAAGCTAACCAGGAAATGCTTCCCAGACTCCAGCCTGGTTTCTACACCACATTATTGCCTATCATCTTTCTAGGAGTACTCGGCTACCCGAGACATCCACCATGGTGTGCAATCACAATCCAGTTTGTTTTTATTTAAAACAGTCAAAACCCACCGCTCGAAAGGACAAAGAGTCAGAAGGTATTTGTGCCCTGAGACTGCAGGCTAAAATTCTTCTCCATCGTACATAGTATAAAGTCAACAAATACAGAGGCTGTTGAGACTGCTGGAGAAGGAGGAGTCACCTCCCCCAAAGCCTGGTAACCTGAGTTTGACTCCCAGTGATGGAAGAGGAGATTCACTTCCACAAGTTGTCCACGGACCTCCATATTCATGCCATGGCAATAAAATATTTTTTAAAACAAGTGAGGCAATAAATGATGTTGACAAATATTTAATTTTTCAGTTGAGGGTTATGAAGGACACTCTCTTAAGCCAGCCTCCCTTTAAGACATTTAAGACATTTCTTTAATAAGAATACCAACCTAAAATGACCATAGAAGTGCTAGATGGTCTCCAAAGGTTAATAAACTTCTTTTTTTTAAATTTTTTTTATTTTTTGGTTTTTTGAGACAGAGTTTCTCTGTGTACCTTTGTGCCTTTCCTGGAACTCACTTGGTAGCCCAGGCTGGCTTTGAACTCACAGAGATCCGCCTGGCTCTACCTCCCGAGTGCTGGGATTAAAGGCATGCGCCACCACGGCCCAGCTAATAAGCTTCTTTAGAAGTAGTCCTGAATGGAAATAGATGTGATATAACGAAGTCCAAGTGTATTCAAGACTGAATATATTAAAACAAGAGGAAGTTTCTTAAAGCAAAAATACTGACTGTGGATCAGTAGCAAGAGTCACCTTAGTCCAAGGCTAGACAAGCATCTTTGTGCAAAGTACTGGCTGTAGCAACTCTGTCTCTCTCTCTGTCTCTCTGTCTCTCTGTCTGTCTGTGTGTGTGTGTGTAGCAACTCTGTCTCTCTCTCTGTCTCTCTGTCTGTGTGTGTGTGTGTGTGTGTGTGTGTGTGTGTGTGTGTGTGTGTGTGTGTGTGTATAATTTGTTTGGCAGGGAATGCATGCCTGAGATTTGCTCCTTCTTGAATCCCTGGCCTAATTTATTTATTTTTGTTTTTAAATTTCTGTAAGCCAACAACATTTTGACTATGACAACTTTGACATCCTCACAAAAGTGGAGGGAAGAGGAGGCTGTCAAGATGACCCAGTGGTTAAGGCACCCAACTAGTTTAATAAAGAGCTGACTGTCCAATGGCTAGAAAGGAGAGAATAGGCGGGACTTCCAGGCAGAGAGAGGAACTCAGGGTTAGAATCTGGCATGGTGGGAGACGCTAGGTACAGAGGAGAGGTAAAGAGCCACATGGCAAAATGCAGATGAATAGAAATGGGTTAATTTAAGTTACAAGAGCTAATGGGACAAGCGTAAGCTAAGGCTTAGCTTTCGTAATTAATAAGAAGTCTCTGTGTCATTACTGGGGAGCGGGCGGTCCCAAAGAAAGTCCAACAAGAAAGACACAGTAGAGAGGACCCAAGTTTCGATCCCAGATCCAGTGCCCTCTTTTGGTGTGGATGGACAATGCGTGCGTGAGATACACAGGCATACATGCAGGCAAAACATCATAAACATAAAATAAGTTTTAAAACCTTAAAAAATGAAGGCAAAGGGTCAGGGATCTAGGAAAGGAGTGATGGGTGCATTTTGGGCACAGAGAGTGGCAAAAGGAAGCCCTTAGAACAGCCAAGGAAGTGGACTGAGGAAGGGGGGGAGGAAGATGAGTGAGGGTTTGGAGCAAAGACAAAGAGAGGACCAGCAGAAACTTGGGAGCTAAAAGCCATGGCCATGAGGATGACCCTCTGGCCCCAGAAGGACTTAAGAAAACTGGCAAAAAGTAAGCTGTTCTTTGTACATGCAATGATGGTGACCGTCTTCCAGTCCTACTTAAGAATCTGGATTCCTCTCTGTAACATCTTTTCCCACTTACAGTTAGAATGAAGTGTCATCCTGGGGCCCTGTTGTACATTTAAATATTTGTAAAAGAACAAAAATATCATACAATGGCTCATTGTCTCTGTTTTCATTCGGCTACTTCCACATTTTGAATTTAGAGTAAACGCAACCTGAAATCTTGGCCACAATGGCCTGGTTCATCTTTGTTGTACTCTGAATTCTGTAGCACACCTTGAATTAGACCAAGAAGAGGAGGTAAGCAGGAAAGGAGGGGGGAGGGGAAGAGGAGGGGTTATTTTGGTAGTATAATTAAAGTCTCTGGTGGGAATGAAATAATGTTTCTACCTGGAGCTGTGTGGGATACTGGGGGAGTTCAGCTCCTACCTTTCCCACCGTTTCTAGGGTTCTTAGGAGGAGGAGAGAGGGGTAAGAAAATATTAGATAGAAAGAGAGACCTAGCCGGGCTGTGGTGGTGCACACCTTTAATCCCAGCACTGGGGAGGCAGAGCCAGGCAGATCTCTGGGAGTTCGAGGCCAGCCTGGACTACCAAGTAAGTTCCAGGAAAGGAAAGGCGCAAAACTACACAAAGAAACCCTGTCTCGAAAAAAAAAAAGAAAAGAAAAGAAAAGAAAGAAAGAAAGAAAGAAAGAAAGAAAGAAAGAAAGAAAGAAAGAAAGAAAGAAAGAAAGAAAGAAAGAAAGAAAGAAAGAAAGAGAGAGAGACCTGGTTGACAAGAAAAAAAGACAGAAACACAGGATAGCTTCAGGAGGGCCTGGATTGCTACCCAATGGCCCCTTCCATTTGTTCAAAAGGGCTTTTAATAACAATGCCAAGGGGCAGGGCAAAAGCCCTCCCCCTAGCAAGATCAAAGCACACCGCAGAGCCAAGTATAGCCCCTTCCAAACACCTGGTAACCACACCCTTGGTCAAATCATCCCCTTAGGCAGCCCTGCAGGGTAAAGCAAGCTCAGATTCTCAGACCCTGAGTAAATTCTCACTTACTCAGAATCCTCTGTGGGTCTCCACAGAGCTGTAGTTTGGTGGTTTTAGACTTCTGTAGAATACACAAGGCCCCAGTACAGGAACAAATATATATTTAAAAAAGTGAATTAAGTTTCTAATTACAACTTCAACAGCTGGCACTCCTAAAAGAGTAGGAATAAATTCAAGCTACTAGGAACAATCTTCCTGCTCAGTCTCCCAAGTAGCTGGGATGATAGGCATATGCCACCATGGCTGAATGAAAGACAGTGTAAAAAAAAAAATATAACTGTGTTCACGCTTTTCACAGGTCCATATCTTTTAAAAAGCACCATATTAGTTACTGTCTCATTACTTGTTACATTTTTATGCCTCACAAGAACAGCTTAAGAAAGGAAGGGTGGATTTTGAAGGTGCAATCCATCATGGAAGTCACAGTGGTTGACTTGAGGATGATGGTCACCTTGCATCTGCAGCCAGGAAGAGGAGGGTGAGAGATGGATGCCCGTACTTGGCTAGCCTTCTCCTTTTCATTCAGTCCAGGATGCCAGCTCACGGGATGGTACCACCCACATCCAGGGTGGGTCTTCTCTCTCCAATGAAACTTTTCTAGGAACACCCTTATGGATACAACCAGAAGTATGTGTCCATGGTGATTCTAAGTCCAGCAAAGTTGACAAAGCAGATTAGCGGTCACAGTTCCACCCAATGTCAACTTGAAATCCAAGGACGTCACTGGAAATCATAACACTCTACCCCCATGTAGGTTCATGACCATCTCATAACTCAAAATATATTCACCCCAAAAGTTCCCATAATCTTCAATTGCATCACCACCATTCAAAA